AATCATGGGCCAACCTCACTACTGTTACCACGCTTGAGTCCACTGATGCTGCCACTTGGCTAATCCATCTCGTTGGGGGTCTTCCTCTTTTTCTCTAACCCTCCATTTTACCAAGCATGAGATCCTACTCTAGTGAATGGTCCTTCCTGACAATATGTCCGAAGTATGAGAGATGAAGCTTGACCTTCTTGGTCTCCAGGGAGTACTCTGGCTGCACTTCTTCCAAAATGGATCTATTGGTTCTTTTGGCAGCCAATGGCACTTTCAATATTCTCCTCCAACACCATAATTCAAAAGCATCAATTCTTCTAAGGTCTTCCTTATTCACTGTCCAGCTTTCGCATGCATATGAGGTTATTGAAAATACCATGGCTTGGGTCAGGTGTACATTAGTCCTCAAACTGACATTTTTCCTCTTCAACACTATAAAAAGTTCTTGTGCAGCAGATTTGCCTAATGCAATACGTTGTCTGATTTCTTGACTGCTGCTTCCATGAGTGTTGATAGTTGATCCAAGAAGAATGACGTCCTTGACAACTTCAATCTTTTGTCCACAGATAAGAATGTTGTTTATTGGTCCAGTGGTGAGGATTTTTGTTTTATTTACATTAAGATGTAATCCATAACGAAGGCTGTGCTCTTTGATCTTCACCAGTAAATATTTTAAGTCCTCTTCACTTTCAGCAAACAAGGTTGTATCATCTGCATATCACAGGTTATTAATGAGTCTTCTTCCAATCCTGACACCACGTTTTTCTTCATATAAACCAGCTTCTCGGATTATTTGCTCAGCATACAGGTTGAATAAGTACGGTGAAAGAATACAACCTTTCTTAATTTTAAACCATTCAGTATTCTCATGTTCTGTTCGAACAACTTGCCTCTTGGTCCAGGTACAGATTCCTCATGAGCACAATTCAGTGTTCTGAAATACTCATACTTCTCAATGTTGTCCATAGCTTGTCATTATCTACACAATTGAAAACCTTTGTGTACTCAATAAAGCACAGGTAAATACCTTTCAGATATTCTCTGCTTTCAGCCAAGATCCATCGGACATCAGCAATGATATCCCTTGTTCCACGGCCTCTTCTGAATCCAGCTTGAACCTCTGGAAGTTCTCTGTCAATGTATGATTGCAGCCATTTCTGTATTACCTTTAGTAAAACTATATTCACATGGAATATCAAAGAGATTGTCCAGTGATTTCGGCATTCCATTGGATAACCTCTCTTTGGAATGGGCACAAATACGGATCTCTTTCAATCAGTCGGCCAGATAGTTGTCTTCCAGATTTCTTGGCAGAGATGAGTGAGTACCTCCTGTGCCGCCTCACTTTCTTGAAAGATTTCCATTTTTATCTCATCAATACCTGGTGCCTTGTTCTTTGCTAATTCTTGGATTTCCTCCTTCAGTATCATTGGCTCTTGATAATATGCTACCTCTTGAAACAGATGAACATTAACCATTTCCTTTTGGTACAGTGACTCTGTGTATTCCTTCCATCTCCTCTTAATATTTTCTGCATCACTCAATAATTTGCCTAGAGAATCATTCAATAATGAAAGTTGAGGCTTAAATTTTTTCTTCAGTTCCCCCAGCTTGAGAAATGCTGAACGTGTTCTTCCTTTTTTGGTTTTCTGATACCAGATCTTTGCACACTATGCTGTAATATCTGCTTTATATTCTCAAGCTGACCTTTAAATTTTTCTTTTCAGCTCTTGTACCTCCTCATTTCTTCCATTTGCTTTAGCATCTCTATGCTGGACAGCAAGTTTCAGTGTGTCTTCTGACATCCATTTTGAGCTTTTCTTTCTTTCTTGTCTTCTTAATGACTTTTTGCTTTCTTCATGTATGATGTTCTTGATGTCTTCCCACACTTCTTCTTGTCTTCCATCTTTAGTGTTTAATGTATCAAATCTCTTTTTCAGATGATCTCTAAAATCAGGTAGGATATATTCAAGGTCATATTTTGGCTCTCATGAACTTGTTTTCATTTTCTTTAGCTTCAGTTTGAATCTGCATATGAGTAATTGATGGTCTGTTCCACAGTCTGCCTCTGGCCTTGTTTTCACTGATGATACGGAGCTTTTCCATCTTATCTTTCCACAGATGAAGTCAATTTGATTTCTATGTATTCCATCTGGCGAGGCCCATGTGTATAGTCATCTTTTATGCTGTCTAAAGAAGGTATTTGGAATAAACAGATTATTGGTTTTGCAGAGTTCTATCATGCATTTACCAGCATCATTTCTATCACCAAGGCTATATTTTCCAACTACTGATCCTTCCTGTTTTTTGTTTTTTTTTGCATTCCATTCATCAGTAATGATCAGTACATCTTGATTGCATGTTTGATCAATCAATTTCAGGTTGAAGAAGTTGGTAGAATTCTTCTATTTTATCCTTACTGGTTTTAGTGGTTGGTGTGTAAATTTCAACAATAGTGGTATTAACTGGGTTTCCCTGTAGGAGCATGGATATTATCCTATCACAGACAGCATTGTACCTCATGATTGGTCTGGATATGTTCTTTTTGACGATGAATATAACAACACCATTTCTCTTCAATTTGTCGTTCCTGGCACAGTAAACCATGTGGTTATCAGATTCAAAATGGCCAATACCAGTCCATTTCTGCTTACTAATGCCTAAGATACCGATGTTTATGCATTCCATTTCATTTTTGACAACTTCCAATTTTCCCAGATCCATACTTGGTACATTCCATGTTCCGATTTTCAATGGATGTTTACAGCTGCTTGTACTGAGTTGTGCCCCATAGACAAATGAAGATCCCATGGGCTTTTCTCCCACAGGCTGTACTCCATTCGCGTCATCATGGTCAACTCTACTTAGAGGAGGCAGTTCTTCCCCAGTCGCATTTTGAGTGCCTTCCAACCTGAAGGGCTCATTTTCTGACATTATCTGACAGTGTTTCTCTGCTATTCATAAGGTGACTAAATATTCGGAAGTAGTTTGTCACTCCTTCTTCCTAGTCTGTCTTCTTCTGGAAGCTCATTTCTAACCTGTCCACGATGGGTGACCCTGCTGTTAAAATACCGGTGGCATAGATTCCAGAATCACAGCAACTTACAAGTCACCAGAGTACAACAAACTGATAGGCGAATGGTGGATATAGTGGGAGGAAATGTATAACTGTACTCAAAATTATAAAAATGTACAGATTTACAGGTCTAACTGTGACAGGTAAACCCCAAGACTATGACCCTTAGTTACCTTTCAGTTCTGGAAATGAACTCACCCCTATGTCTCAATTTTCAGCCCAACAACAGACAAGTCTATAAGGGGAAGGATTGTTGTTGTTGTTGTTATGTGCTGTCGAGTCGGTTCCGACCCATAGCAACCCTGTACAGGGTTTCCGAGGGTGTAAATCTTTACGGGAGTAGAATGCCTTATCTTTCTCCGGCGGAGCAGCTGGAAGTTTCGAACCGCTGACCTTAAGGTTCGCAGCCCGATTCATAACCACTACGCTACCAGAGCTCCCATTAGTGAAATATTCACACCATAGAATAACCAAGAATTTGAGATCAAAAGGGCAGCAATTCTTCCAGGAAAATTTCAGAAGGGTTAGGAAAGGAAGAGGAATGGAAATGGGAAACACAGGGAAGAAGGATAAGTGATGTTCCACAGTGAGGATTGCAATCAATGACAAAAACAATTTATACGAATTGTTGAATGGAAAAGTGATCTGCTCTGTAAACCTTCACCCAATTCACACAAAAAAGTTAAAACAAACACTTCTGTATTAAACTCACTGAAATACAGACCACTCAAATGCCATGACAATTTTGATTACAAAGAAAGAATACTATAAAATTTAGATATAATAAAATCAAAATGTAACCAAAAAATGGGAAGAGGAAAAAAATCTGAGAGAACTAATGTATTCAATTTTCATAGCAGGTGTCAAATGATGGAAGTGAATGCACTAAACCTCACCAGTTACTATCAAGTCAATTCTGACTCATGGCAATTTATTATGTTTCAAAGAACTGTGCTAATTGGGTGTATGGACACAAAATGACTGCTCTAAAATGGCCACACTAATGTCAACCCAGGAGAAATACTTTGTCATTTTCTCTCTCATCCCCTCTCTCTTCCCCTCTAACATACATCCCTGACCCTACATACAGAAACTTTGTATTCCCATGGATTAGCAACATATCTACTAGGCAGTGGCATGGGGCTGTTTACCCACCCCTTGTTTTGGTTAGAGATAAGACTCTCCTCATACCACTACCACTCTCCTGTCTTTCCTGGAATATGAGGCTTGTTTATCACAGAATATAAAAGGAACTCACAAGGACCACGTCCTACCTACCTCCACCCTGGGCACACTGCAGAATCTTGACTATTCAATTGGCCACCACTTGAAATAACCACTGTTCTCATCCCAGACAGTAAGTTTCCCTATTCATAAACCATGTTTTCTTTTCTTGCAATAATCTAACGTCTCTTGGTCTGAACCCTGGTCACTTTTTCGCTGTCTCAGCAAATACCCACACAAAAAGATTTTCTCTTCTGAGTCTGAACCCAAACATTAGAGTTTACAATACTGTGGAGTCTTTCTGAAGGAATTAAGAGTTTGAGTGGATTCTAACCTCCAACTTTTTAGTTGGTTACCAAGCACTTAATGTTTTATATGACCCAGCGGTTCAATTAAGCTCTTTACCATAGAAACTGTCTGTTCTAGCTATCTGATTCTTGTCATGTCCAAAGACTACAGGAAACCATCATAGCCAAAACCAAGGTCATATTGCTAAAATTAGGTCAATCAAACAGAAAAGGTTGCTTTGAGTTTTTTGAGTTGAGACTATAGGCCAGATAGACTTTTACTATCTTTCCAGAACATCTCATGATTCTCTCAGAACTGAAATTTAAAATGATATAACAAACTCCCATTTTCCCTGGGTTGTTTCCCATGATTAACATTAAAAAATTAAAATTTCCTCACACCAATCATATATTTAACCTACCTCAAATTCCGCATGTCTGTGAATATCCTCTGCTCTCTGTCTGCTTAGGATAAATTCAGCTTCATTTGCTACTCTTACAAGATGATCCTTCATTGTCTGGCTAAGTAATCTAGAAGAAAGGAATATTGTCAAATAAATATATATACACACAAACATAAGAAAGATTATTCCAATATTAAGTATGTTTTTAGCTTGTTATTTTAGAGTTGTGGGAATAAAGAATGTGCACTCTCCTCATAAAATTATACCCAGTGAAGCACCAATATTTCACATTGATTGAAGATTATGAAAGCAAAAGGTTATACTTCTAGCAACCGCAGATTAGCTTCTTTAAGACCAATCATCTCATCAAAAGCAACAAAAAATTGCCATATTTAAATTTTTTAAAATAAGATTTTAGGAGGTCCAAAGACAGCCAAGAATTAAGAAGCTAATCATATAAAGATTATAGCACAATGAAAACATTCAAGATCTCTTCTCCCTTTCTGTATTTGCTATTTACAGGTGGGAACTAAGAAGCTAAACAGAGCTTTCTGCAGTCTCAAAGAACAAGGAAGATAAAAACTGAGGTTCACAACCTGCCAAGTTGGAGGGATCATGAAAAGATCCAAGTATATCCTCAAACCATACCAAATGCACTGCCACTGAATCAAGTCTGACTTGTCAATCCTACAGGACAGAGTAGAACTACTCCATAGGGTTTCCAAGGCTGTAAATCTTCATGAAAGCAGACTGCCTCATCTTTCTTCAGGGACTCATGGGTTCAAACCACTGACCTTCGGTTAGCAGCCCAATGCTTAAACAACTACACCACCAGGGCAACTAAATATACCCTATTGTTTGTTTTATGTTAAGTGCTGTTGAGTTGGTTCCAACTCATAGCAATCCTGTAGAGATGTCTGAAAAGTGGCTGGTGGGTTTTAACTATGGACTTTACATGGTTAGCACTATACCAGGAAGAAACAGAACAATCTTCACAAACGCTGAAAAATAACCTTAACACTATGGTCCTGTGCACTTAAATTAATTGGCATCCAAACAGTTAATCTAAGCTTTCAGAATCTCACAGGATCTGGAGAATAAAGAACTAGAAGTAGACATACTGAAAACAGGGGAAACTGATAAAGCACTGAATCAATTAAATCATTAAATTAACATCATTTCATTTTAGACTAATACCTGGCTAGAAATGAAAAAGAAATTATCTCCAGAAGAAAATAAAAGCATATTACACAGACTCAAATTTCTCCCCAAATTTCAAATACATGCTCTAACATTCAATCAATAACTAATATGCATAACATGAGACAACATAAAATGAATAAAAATTAAATAGAAGCCAAGTCACAGGAAATCTAAATAGCAAAGTTTCAGGTCTGGACATCAAATAAAATATAAAAGCAACAGATTGTATAATAAATAATTCCAGTAGGGGGGAAAGCATAGAACACCTAAACAACAAACACATACACCCACAAAATTAAGAATTAAACTAATGTATATAAGGAGCTCTGGAGGTGTAGTGGTTATGAAAAGGGCTGCAAACTGCAAGGTCAGCAGTTCAAAACTACCAGCTGTTCCATAGAAGAAAGATGAGGCTTTCTGCCCCTGTAAAGATTTACAGGCTCGGAAACCCTGTACAGGGTTGCTATGAGTCGGAACTGACTCCACACGGAACATAACCACCACCACCATACCAGCTATTGTGCATACAGTTACCTTGATCTAAAATATTTGGTCTTTGTCCTTGGTTTCTGGGAGTCATCATCGTCATCACTTAGGTCCTTAAGTGCCAACTAATGATGAGTCAGTTCTACCTCACAGTGACCCAGTATAGGGTTTCCAAGAAGCAGTTGGTGGGTTTGGACTGCTGATCTTGTGGTTCATAGCCAGTGCTGATCCTACAGCGCCACACCAGGGCCTTCTAAATTCTTAGACTTTCCTATGTGATTAGTTATGCAAATGAGGTGCTCTTAAGTGGGCGCTGGCCACACCAGAAAAAACCACTAATATAAACCCAACCATCTCCATGTTCACATAATGAAACCCCAATAAAAATATCTGGATATTGAAGCTGAGTAAGCTTCTTGGGTGATGAAAGACAATGATGCTGAAGAGAGTAGCACATTCTTTAAAACACAGAAGCTCAACTTTGGGGGTTCTCCCAAACCTCACCTTATTATTATTATTATTATTATTGTCATTTGTACCCTTTCTGCTATAATAAAACTGATTGTAAGTACAGTGCTTTCCCTCAGTTCTGTTAGTCATTCTATCAAATTATCAAACAAGAGAAAATTAACAGACAACTTGGACATTGGTTACCTAAAATGGGTGGGGCTATAAAGGCACGAAGTGACTGGCTTACGAGTTTTCAAGAGGGAGTTTAGTTTCAGAGTGTGCAGGAGAAGGTAAAATTCCCCACTGAAGAGTTTTCTTATCTAGACAGGTCTAGTGAAAGGAGATGGGGATGACTCTTATGATTCAATAGTAAGTAATTGTTATTATGACTAACTGCAACTGTCACATCTGTAACGGTAAAAGTTTTGTAATAAAAAGTGAAGAGTAGTTAACTTTAGGAACAGAGGACCCAAGGACCATCAAGGGAGAAGAGCACGAGTGGAATGTGGGATCCTATCCAGAGAAGCAGCAACCACAAAGATGGAGGTATAGAGATGAGGGCATGGAGAGAGGGAGCAGCTGAGGACTCTAGACTCATGGAAAGAGAAAGTTTGTAAGCTGGTGGCCAGGAGGCAGGCTTGCAGAATGAGTCCTTTGTTTATTTAAATGACTATATATTCCTGAGTGTTTTGTGTACATCAGAAAAAAAAAAAAAAAAAAAAAAAAACCAGAGGAAATAGAAGCAAATACTGTTGAATGATGATACATGGAGGGGATTGTAATCATTTTAATGGCACGATGAGTTTAAAAACATATGTTCTCCCATGTACATTATCACTCAATTCACAATAAAAACATAAAATAGGAAATTAATAGAAATTCCTAAATTTGTAGTCATCAAGTTAGAAATGAGAGGGGCTTGGGAACCTCTTGAGATTATGATTAGCATCCTAATGAGGTAGTGGGAACAGCTGAATTTGTAACCTGTCCCTCAGAGGTAAAGGGAAGTATGGATGGTAGCTGCCTCTGAAGGCCTAGGCAGACTCAGAAATCTGGAGGCCTATCTATGCCCTATATTTTGGACATCTAAACTAGCTCTGATGGTTAGGATAATATGAAGAAGTAATACATTTGCAGTTGATATCAAATGTAATATTTACATACAAATTAAGTTGGCTTCAGAGAAGAAAAATACACAGTACATTAAACAATGGATCAATGAATTGGAAAACAGTTTACTGAAAAATAGCTAGACAAGAACATAGTGAGAAAAATGATAAAAATCTGACAAAATAAAAGACAATTGTAATTTGGAGTATAAAAGAGAGACTAGAAAAATAATGTAAAAAATAACATTTAAAGAGATATTCATCAATTTTTTTTTCCAAACATGAAAAAAGGCACTGAATTGCATGCTGAAAAATGCTACAAACCCAAACAGGATGAGAGAAAACCAAAACCATTCCCACTGAGCCTATTCCAATTCTCAGTGATGCTATAGGGCAGAAAAAACTGGACCTCAAGGTCATCTGAATCAGCAGTTCAAACTCACCAGCTACTTCCTCAGAAACCCTTTAAAAGGGTCATTAAGAGTCAGAACTGACGCTATGGCACTTAACAACAACAAGGTTTCCAAGGCTGTAAATCATTATGGAAACAGACTGTCATGGTTTTCTCCTGTAAAAGAAAACTAAACACCAGCTTCTCATGATAAGTATGTCAAAGGGAAAAATATAAATAGTACATGAATCATAGGAAACCGGACAGAATGGGAAGGGAGCTTCTTGCCTTTGAAAGAACAATATTGAAATGACAGATAACCATTCAGTATAAATGATGGAAGCCAGATAACAGTACAATTACCTAAAGTGCTAAACAAAACAAGCAGCTAATTATTGTTGTTGGAGCTGTTAAGCCCCTAGTTGGTTCTGACTCACAGCAATCCTACATAGGGTTGCTGAGGAGCAACTTGTGGGTTTTAACTGTCATTGCTTAAGCTACAGCACCACAACCAGAAAAACACCTTAAAATGATGAAATCCAAATACGAATATTTTATGACATACAAAACAGATTTTGTTTCTAGGAGATTCACATTAAAAGAAGTCACTTAAAGAGAAGAAAAGTAATGCCAGACTGATGGAAGACAAGGAAAAGAAAAAGTAAAGAGTAAATATAGGAGTCAGTTCTCACTCATAGTGACCCCTGTATATGGTTTCCAAGAAGCAGCTGGTGGGTTTCAACTGGTGACCTTGTGGTTCACAGTACAGTGCTGATCCTACAGTGCCACACCTTTTCAACACAAAGATCACACAATTTCAACATAAAGCTATACAAAAGTTTTAAGTAAACCCCGCCAAAATGAATGATGCAAAAAAATAAAGTAAAATAAAGAAAGCTAATGTAACTTTATTAACATCAGACAAAACCTACTTTAAGGCAAGAGACAAAATCAAGATCAATTGATAACAACCTTCAAATGAGGAAAGACAAATGAATCACACAGATACAAACGTAAAATTTTTTAGAATACCAACAGGTAAACCGAAGAGAATAGCCCTCAATTATTCCCACCTCTAGGTATATTCACATTCTTAAACAATTCCCTCCGCTCAAGAGCAGGTAAGAGGTACAGACTCTAACCAGTAAAATATGACAATCACAAAGGGATTAACACTTCTGTGATTATAAAGCACAAGACTGCTAAATCTATCTTCTATTAGAATCTTTCCACAGACTCTCGACCTTGGATAGCTTTGCCAAATAAATGAATCATGTTATTAGCTGTCCTATGGAAAGGTCCATCGGGCAAGGAACTATGTGCAGACTTCGATCAACAGCAAGGAAAGAACCCACAAGAAACTGAATCAATTCAACTATCACATGAGCTTGGAAGCAAATCCTTCTTCAGTCCAAACCAGCCTAAGCCAAGACCTTAATACAATTAAGGGAAGGCTCTGAAAGTAAAAACAGCAATAGGTTACTAAGA